CAGAAGTGCTTCCTCCTCTAAGAAAGTTTTTAAACCTAACAAACCAAGTATTTTCAAATGTTTTTTCTGCAAAAAGGCAGGCCACATGAAGAAAAATTGTCCAAAATACAAAGCTTGGCTTGCCAAGCAAGAAACGAAAAAAGGTAAAAATGTTTTCGTTTGTTTTGAGTCTAATTCAGTTGACATACCTAGTAATGCATGGTGGCTTGACTCTGGCTCTTCTATTCATGTTACGAATTCATTGCAGGACTTCACAATAAGGAGAACACCAAATAAAGATGAAGTGAAGGTCTTGGTGGGCAATGGAAGAAGGGTTGAAGTCAAAGCCTTAGGAACTGTTAGACTTAAGTTAGAATTTGGTTTTCATTTGGATTTGGAAAATGTTGCTTATGTACCTTCCATGAGGAGGAAATTAGTGTCGGTTTCAAAACTTGTTTTGCTAGGTTATTATTTTACATTAAATAAAATTGGCTTCAACATCTTTTACAATTCTTCTCACATTGGCACTGGTTCTATATGTGACGGGATGTTTCAGTTCAAATTAAGAGTTGAAAACGTGATTTTTAATGTTGAAAAGAACCATGAAAAACCACAACAGTCATCCCATCTTTGGCATAAAAGACTCGGACATGTTTCAAAACCGAGAATGGAACTCTTGATCAAAAGTGAAATTTTACCACCCTTGAATTTTAATGATTTCGAACTTTGTATATAGAATGCATCAAGGGAAAAATGACTAATTCAAGAAAAGAAGGATCAACTAGAAGCAAACAACTTTTAGAGATCATTCATACAGATATTTGTGGCCCCTTTCCTACAAAAACAATCGATGGAAACAAGTACTTTATAACTTTTATAGATGATTTTTCACGTTTCTGTTGTATATATTTAATCCCTGAGAAGTCAAAAGCTCTTGAAGTCTTTAAAATTTTTAAAACTGAAACTGAAAACCAATTGGAAAGGAAGATCAAAGTGGTTAGGTCTGATCGAGGAGGTGAGTACTATGGTAAGCAAAGTCAAACTGGCAGGCAACCAGGACCATTTGCATTGTATCTTCAAGATCATGGCATTGTAGCACAGTATACCACTCCTGGTACACCTGAGCAGAATGGAGTCTCGGAGAGAAGAAACAGAACCCTTATGGACATGGTTAGAAGCATGATGTGCAAGGTGAACTTGCCAAATTTTTTATGGGGAGAAGCAGTCAAGACTGCTAACTACATTATTAACAGAGTGCCATCCAAAGCAGTTGTGAATACACCTTTTGAATTATGGACAGGTAGGCGGCCTAGCCTTAATCACTTACATATCTGAGGATGCAAGGCTGAAGCTAAGGTTTACAACCCTAATGGCAAGAAGCTCGATCCCAAGACACTCTCTTGTTATTTCGTGGGATATGCTGAGAGGTCTAAAGGTTTTAGGTTTTATTGTCCAAGTCATGACATGAAAATTGTTGAGACTGGCAAAGCAATATTTATGGAACTAGGGATGGATGCTGAACATTGTTCGAGGATAGAAGAATTTGTTTTTGAGGAACAAGGAGATATAGGGGCTGAATATGATCAACAACAAACTGTACTAAAGTCAGTGGTTGAACTTCCAAATCACGTGGACCATGGCATGGGAAATGATGATTACTTAATTCAACATGGCAGCAACCATGCACTGGTGAATGGTAATGAAATTGAGGCATTATTAAATGATGAACAACATGAAGAGAATGAGGAAGGGCACGTGGAAAATGCAGCTGCAAATGGCAGCCATGTGAACCAACAAGAGAACCGACAAGAGCACCGACTGGAGCACCGACTAGAGCAGCATGCAAATGTTCATGGAGAGCACGTGGAGATGGTTAAGGTGAATGGCAATGAACACCGACACGATGGTATGGGTATTGGTGAGGTTGCACCGCTTGTGAGGAAATCGAGTAGGGTAAGAAAATCCACCTTTTGTTCAGATTTTGTATATATGGCAGAATTAGACTTTAATATGTCAGAGTTTAATGATCCTGGGAGTTACAAAGATGCAACCTCAAACATTCATGCAGATAAGTGGATGGATGCAATGAGGAGTGAGTTGTCCTCGATGGAGGAAAATAAAGTTTGGAGCTTGGTAGAGTTAAAAGAAGGAATAAAACCCATAGGTTGTAAATGGGTTTTTAAAACCAAAAGAGACTCAAATGGAAATGTGGAAAGACACAAAGCAAGGCTTGTTGCCAAGGGTTTTACACAGAAAGAGGGGATTGACTACAAAGAAACATTTAGTCCAGTGTCTACTAAAGATGCATTCAGAGTCATCATGGCAATGGTAGCACACTATGATTTGTTTTTACATCAAATGGATGTAAAAACAGCCTTCTTAAATGGTGAATTAGAGGAGGATATTTATATGGTACAACCTGAGGGCTTCAAAGAAGAAGGGAAGGAAAATATGGTATGTAAACTGAATAAATCAATCTACGGTTTAAAACAGGCATCTAGGCAGTGGTATTTGAAGTTTCATCATGTCGTTAAGGAGCATGGGTTTACAGAAAATCCATCTGATGCTTGTATATATTTGAAAGTCAGTGGGAGCACTTATATCATATTAGTGCTCTATGTGGATGATATTCTTTTAGCAGCAAATTGTTCTAGCCTATTGGATGAAACTAAGTCTTTCTTGCAGTGCAAGTTTGAAATGAAAGATTTGGGTGAAGCTTCGTATGTCTTTGGGAATTGAAATCAAAAGAGATAGAGAGAGAGGACTTCTGGGACTATCGCAGAAAGGGTACATAGAGAAAGTGTTAAAAAGATTCAATATGGCATCATGTGGAACCACAGAAATGCCAATTTCGAAGGGTGATAAACTGAGCAAAGAACAAAGTCCAAGAAACGAGATTGAAAGGGAGAACATGAAGGACAAACCATATGCTTCATTAGTGGGAAGTTTGATGTATGTTCAGGTCTGTACAAGGCCTGACCTTGCATTTACCATTAGTGTTCTAGGGAGATTTCAGTCCAACCCTGGAGAAGCACATTGGAATGCAGGGAAAAGGGTTATGAGATACCTTCAAAGAACTAAATCTCACATGCTCATTTACAAGAAAACTGAACGTTTGGTTTTGGAAGGTTATAGTGATGCTGACTTTGCAGGATGTCCTGATGATTTAAAATCAACTTCGGGTTTTGTCTTCACTATGGCAGGAGGAGCTGTGTCGTGGAAAAGTTCTAAACAAGATATAGTTGCAGCCTCAACTATGGTTGCTGAGTACTTGTCATGTTGTGAAACAGTCAATCAGGCAATATGGATGAAAAATTTTATTACAGGATTGAGAGTGGTAGACTCAATTCAAAGGCCTATTCAGATATTCTGTGATAACAATGCAGCCATCTTTTTCTCTAAGAACAACAAAAAGGTCAACTGCAACAAGGAATTTGGAGATTAAATATCTCATTGCTCGAGAAAAGGTAATGGCAGGACTTGTTAAGATTGATTACTTGGCAACTGGTTCTATGATTGCAGATCCTTTGAATAAGCCGGTGCCAGCTGCAGTGTTCAAAGGGCATGTTGCTAAAATGGGTGTGCTAGCAGGTTTTGAAGCTGTGGAATAGTGGGAGTCGTGTTTGTTCAATTTGTTAAGTTCTAATTTAGCATGTTTAGATTTATGCATTGAGAATAAGGTTATATTTATAACTAATAAAGATGTTGCTGTTGGTTGTTCAAAGTTCCCTTAAAGCATACAGCATTAGTTATAATGATATGTTTTAATACATGAATATCAATCTGAGTTATTGTTTAAAGATTAACAACCATTGAGGTTTCTTATGAAGCATGAAGAAAGCCTACGTTGGTAGTCATAAGGAGGACCACATGTCAAATGTGTTTAAATATATATGTACAGTCACATTTACATATTTCCATGTCTTGTTGGAGTTTCATGTATGGTATGGTTTCATGAAGTGATTATGGGGATGCTGTTCTGGAGATGAGCATATAATTCCTTATAGTTCTTTATGAATACTCTGCAATGACAGAAACTGGATTTTCAGGTTTATGTTCAACTCTAAACTCATGGCCACTTAAGTATAATCTCTCTTCAGTATTACTATGATTAACAAGTGTTGGCTCTAGTGGGAGAATGTAAGTCTCATGAGAGCTGCACACTTGTTAATACATGTATCTAAGGTTTGAGGTTATAGAGTTCGAGTATGACTTTGTTTGTAAGCTACCAAAAGGTGTGTACGATAAGGAATGTAGCTAAACAATCCTGATAAACTATACTACTGTTATATTATCTGATATGGATACTTGGGATTGCATGATAAGGTTGAGTTCAATTAGGACTAACATTATGGGAAGTCTCCTAGTTGAACACCATTGCATAAGGTATAAATATAGGGTCCCTGCACTCTCAATTGACACGCAATAAAAGAGCCTCACGCCCCATAGTATTGAGCCATTGCATTCTGAGATTGACGAGTTGCAGAAGAAGCCTATCTCGATCGCATTCTAGCCGACATGGTTTCTACAGGTTAGTGGTTATTTGGTTTTAGTGAATCAGTTATGTATTAAACTAATCTTACACGTTACTCGTTTGTATACGCATGCAGGACTGGCAAATTTGGGAGTATCTTGTTTGTCCTTGTTTTGGAGAGAGAGAAATGAAGGAAGGAAAACCAATGCCTTCTGCTCGAGTCTCGAGCATATATCGATGTTTTACTTCAGATGATGGATAAGAGAATTACAGTGCATCGATGATTTTCCAAACTTCTCTTGTTGATGCATCAGCGATTGATGATTTTTACCTTCTTGGTGTCAATTACATCAGAAATACCAAGAAAATGGAACTTTTCTTGCCTACAAAGGTAAGAATTACGCCAATACTTCTCTGGTACTCAAAATAACAAAATGTGTCTGGAAAGTTGGAACAAGACAGACAGTAGCTACCATCTAAATACAACTTTTTCAGATGACTACGGATCATTATATCATGGCTTGCAGCCTAAGAAAGCACTCAAAAGTGAAGAAAAATCAATGCCACCTTGATGAAAATAGGTATAGGGAAATACGAGTAGAGAATTTTACAAGACAGTTGTTGAGCTATACTAAGTAAGGGGATACAATTTTCTTTCTCCCATTTTTATTGATTTATGTCATCGAGTAAAAAAGAAGAAAACATGTCAAGAAAAAGTGACCGATGAAGTAGTAAGTGCAGGTAGTGAGGGAGTAACAGTAGCGTTATCTGTCCAACTTTTTTCACCCCAGTGCCGTAACATGCTCTTCCAGGAGCAGAAATCCTGGACGCATATCTTAAGACGCTTGTCTTTTATTTTAATTTTCCAGTGACCATCGGTGTAATTTGCTTTTTCCGCTTGCCTTCGGTCCCACTCTAGTCCTGCCTTTTGCTGTGTCCGAAGCAAACAGAACTTTTGCAAGTTTCCTGGCATAGTATCGTGCACTCTCCACCACGTATTATGTGCAACATCACTCGCAAACTCCTGCATAAAATCGACATTCCAATTGCAGTCATAGTCGCGGAAGCAAAGCCACGGTTTCTTACCAAGGTAATGGAGGACATAGATGATTGGAGGGTCAGCTTGAAAGAGGTGAGTTTTCATTTGCTTTATCTCCGGCTCATCACCTTCCCAGAAATGTTTCAAGAAGTTCATGTGTTTCGGAATCCTGTGCCACCATGTAAATACCTCATTCAGATACCCCTGGTCACCACCGTTGTAGGATACAATTTCGTTGATATGATCCATGAGCAGCTGGAATGTACAATTTGATGGTTCGACGACCATCACACCTGAGTTGAACAAAGTAGCATTGTTTCCCGTGGCTGATATTTCTGGCATTTGAAACAGGAAATCGATATTCCGAAGTATAAGCATGTCGGCATCAATGAAAATGATCTTGTCGTAATCAGTCAACTGCCAAAGACGGAATTTGCTGTAGTTCCATTCGTTGTAAGCTTCTGGTTCAGCTTTTGGGTTCCTGATTCTTTGGATTGTGTGGATCTTCCACCCAGCAGCCTCCAGTCCTCTCCGATGGTACTGAGTGATTGTTTCATCGACCAGTATCACAAGATCTCGTGTTGAACCAGCCATACGGATGCTCTGCGCTGCAGCAATGGCTCCACAAACATATACATCTGCAGAGTGTAGGATTGTTGCATATGCTTCTCGGTGGGGTTTTTCCGAGTCAAAATGCTCTGTGTACAAACATGTATTTGATCACTCTCAAGTATAATGCAGTTACGAGCTCAGTAGAATTTCAAACTAACAATGACTTGTATTTATTTTCTTGTGAGATGCGTTATTAAATCAGTAATTCATTTAACTTTGAAACGCTAAGTTTTGGAAAGTTAAAAGTGAAAACAGAAAGAGTAATGGAAGAGAGGTATACCAAAAGCTTTCATTGCGCAAAAACGACTCAAAAGAAAAATCTAACTTTGAAACAGAAAAATTGAAAAAGCAACACAAGACACTGGTTTAACTCTTACCTTTAGCCTTGAGAGGAACTGCAAGCTCACATGATCCTACAGGGAGCTGTAGCTTCTCCCTCAAGGTAGTAAGTTTCGGTTCATAGAGCCATGCATTCCCTTCACGTCTAACAAGATCTTTGCAAGTGAATAAACTTGGAATGGGGAAGCAGTCAGTCAACAAAAGCACATGCACTGGGTGATATCCTTCCGATAACGCAGCCAGCCTTGCTGCTTCAAGCTGCAAGTGGAAACGAGCCACGTCCCTTGACCAACTGCCTGACTTGTTGCAGGGAAGCTTGACAGCAACCAGACCAAGTGGTGAACTTTCAGGAATTAGAAGCTTTGGTAGAGAGGGACAAGTAGGAACTTTGGATTCTTGTTCTTCGTCTATCCATTCAGGATAGAGGGATTCCCATGTTATGTTGTTTGGTGCATGGTTGAGATGCAGAACAACCTGCTCAGAATCTGGAAAGAGCTCCTTCCAATTGTCAATTTCATTGTCATTAAAGTTTAATAGGCCAATTCTCCGATAATCATTTTTGTGAGTAAGTTTTCCAACGAAGTCCAAAATTTCACTCCAGTTTATGTGTAAAGATGATATATAACGTAAATCTGCTGGAACGCTCCTTTTCATCCATCCGCATTGAGAAGTTTGGCTGCAGCCAATAAACTTATGTTACAACTATTAGCACTGGAGAGAGAGATAAAGAGAAAGCAAAGAAGAACAAAAGGCAATGCTCTTTTGCCTGTTAACTACGAACCCTCAAAAGAGGAAAAACAAAACTTTCAAAAGCCTCAACATCAGAAAAGAGACAGAATGTTGAAGCAAGAAAATACCTAATTAAGAGTAAATAAATTCCACGAAATGAGAAGTGAAAACAAGGTGATCAGCGCATAGGACGTACTGAGATACAGAGCTGGAGAGGTGATCTGTATTATAAACAGTAGAAGATAGGAATAGCGTCATAAAAGTCCCGAATACAAGAATGATCAACACCAATTTCAAGGTAAGCTTGCAGTTTAAGGCTCTTTCTTGAGCGTGAAAGTGGAGGGCTTTCTCAATATCTTTGAGAACTTTGTTTCTCTGCGGCCTTCTTTTGTTGGTGTCTTCACTGAAATACAAAAGGGATACGTAAAAGATGAGCGCATTCTAAATGGCAAGTGAAAGAAAGGACAAAGAGTGACAAATGTAATGGATAAAAAACTAAAGAGAGCAGTAACTAAGGGGTTTGCAAGAGAAGAAGCTTGTGGATTTTATTTCCCTTTAACAAAACTAGCCTTCTCTTCATCTGCAACTATACATTCACATATATGTAACGAAAAAGGTCATCTAGTGAGTTTGGTAATTAAAATCACGAAGCCTATGCCTTCCAAATGTGTTGATATGATTGTCGCCATGCAAAACATATGAACATGTGCGGATACAGAACCGACTTCGTTCTTGCCAACAGAATTCCTTACATGCTTAGTATGGAGCTAAAAGAACCAAACACTCCAATCAAAATGAAGTCAAGCTACAATAAATCACTAAGAAATGAAAATTTAAACTGTAGAGAGAGAGAGAGAGAGAGAGAGAGAGAGAGAGAGACTGACTGAGGTGGTGAAGAAAGGCGGTGTCTGGTTTCAGTGGGAGTAGTAGTAGGGGAGGGGCCTCTCATCTTTTCTGCTGATTCAACTGAAGCATTTCCTCATTTGATATATACACACACCTCTCTCTATATATAAGAAACTTCATTTTATGTGGGACATATGCTAGTAATAACAACATCAACAACAACAACATTACTTTCTCATTGACCACAAAGAAGTTATTCGCTCCCATTGAAATAAAAAATACAAAGTTATTCATCCCCTTCGTCGGTACATAAAAATAACATTACGTGCACATGACAATATTTTTATTGCACACAATATTCTTCGTTTACGATTCTTATTTCTTTGTGCTGTTTTTGAGATTTTATTTATTAGGAAACTTCATTTTAATCCTCGGCAATTATGTTTTAGACTAAAATCATGAGTAAGATCAAAATCTAATTTTAGTTCCTTGATACATTAATCACCTCATTTATTAATTATATTTTTTATCTTTTAATTATTTTTCTGTTTCTTCCTAATTTTAATGTATTAATTTTATTTCATTATAATTTTCATTTTCATTTCATTCATCGTAATATATTTTGTTGTAAACATTTAGATAAGCTAATTTTTATTTTGCAATATATTTCGATATACTTTGTCTTCTTTATTTAGGTACATTAAATTCATTATAACACATTTTGGTGCATACATTTATGTACACACATTTCAGTACATAAATTTTGATACAAACATTTAGGTACATTAATTCAACATAATACATTTCAGTACATTAGTTTAATATAATATATTTCACTACACACATTTAGGCACATTAGTTTAATATAATACATTTCGGTGCATATATTTGGGTACATACATTTGGGTACTAACATTTAAATACATTAATTCAATATAATACATTTCGGTACATACATTTCGATACTAATATTTAGGTAGAATTAATTGAGTCTTTCAAGTTTGAAGAATGTTAAATAAAATTAAAAAATTAAAAAAGCTTTTGTTTGGTCAAAAAATATATTAAAATGTGTAATATTAATAAATTTAAATAATGGGAGACATTGAATAAAATACACATGAATTATTTTGAATTAAAGACACATCAAAGAACTATAATCAATGATATGTAATCTAACACCAGGTTTATTTTAAATTTCAATCTTCTTCAAGGATTAAAGTTAGAAAACCCTTTTTTTATATAAAAGAAACAATGGAATTCAAACACACAGTCGCAACAAATGGATTTGAAGTCGTTATAAGAGTCGTGTTGTGTGATGGAATTCAAAACACAGTCGCAGCAAACCATAGAAAGCCATCATTTGTCAAGTTTTAGAAGCTCTGCTACCTTTTCCCAGTATTATAGTATAAAATCCCTTTAGTAAACCCATTTTATATTTCATTCTCCAAACATTACAACCCTTGTAAAACACAAAGAGAAGTGGTTGCAAGAAGATGAACCCTGCATGACAAGGTTATAATCTTGCCCAAGTCTTTTTTGTTTGTGCTTGCATAGAGTAGATTTGTTGTTTAATGCATCTTCCATTGTGTTTTTAATTCATTTTCAACTGCTTTTCATTCAAAGTTTCATCTATGATTAATCTCGCTAAACAGATTAACTTTACTTCTTTAGTATTAACTGTAATCAAAGAAATGGTTGGAAGCGTCATGAACTCGCTTTATCTGGACATACAATATTATGAGTAAAAGTCTTTGTTTACAAGGCAAGAAAAAAGAACCTTTTACGGACTTAACCCATATGTAACAGTCCAATAAGATCAAAAAGTCTAAGTAGCTTGTGGTTTAAGTAATCAACCCAGATAATAACAAAAAGAGAACAATCTGTTATACAAAGATAACATTGGCACGCTCAGATCCATAATAGTTTTGATTGTGAGCTTAAAGACCTAACAAATGCCCCACAAAGGCACCATTCAAACTAATAGCAAACTCATATTGCAGCACACCAAGTAGCCTTGCTCGATAGGCAAGACCCCAGGAAGCTGTGTGAAGGACAGATCCAGCCCAAACAGAAGTCATTATAAGAGATGTGTTATGTGATGGAAAGGAGTGAGTTTGGTTGGCTGAGTCACTGAGAGACAAACGAGGTCAGGAGGCGGTTGGTCAATTCATGAAACTTGGCTTTGGCTTTGCCTTGTGGGTTAGGTCATCCTATTATGGTTTTTGGTACACCTATTTGGTCTTATTCATTTCTTAATATTGAGGAGACTAAATTTGTAAACAAAATCATGTAACTAGATAACTTGTAACTTGATGATTTGATTATTACGTACATATTGATAAACGTGCTAATTTCTATTAGCATTTAATCTACAAATTTAGGGGGTATATTCAATTGAGAATTTGAGAGATTTTAATGAATTTATAAATCTATGGATTTTTATGGAGTTTAATTGATTTATAGAAATTCCATATAAAATTTTGATTCAATTCCCTCGAAATCTCATAGGGAGATGTGAGATTTGTGGATGCTTAAAATCCACTACAAAATCTCTCCAATTCCTTCTAATTCCTCAACTTTCTCAAATTCTTTAAAATCAATTTCCAATTGAATACACCTGGAATGTTATAAACTTCTTTAAAATCCTAATTGAATACACCCGATTTCTAAGAATTTTAATAAACTATTTTAAAATTATAATTAAATACACCTTAAATTTCAGAGAATCATTTAAAATCCTGATTGAACATCCATAGATTCATTAAAAGAATTAAAATTCTTTAAAATCTCAATTAAATACATCCCTTAGTTAGTATCACCCTCTTTCATCGGTGCCAAAGTTTTTACGCTAAGTTTTTCATTTGTTTTGGCCCCTCTCTCCCTATCTTTACGCAATAATGATTAATGATGTAGAAGACTAGGCTCAAATATAAAGCAAACCTACTCTCCTAAAACAGTCAACAACAATTCTTATCTCATTTTTATAATAACAATAATAATGCGAGTTAGTATTACGATATGATAATTTTTTTTTTACTTCCTAATTTGATTATCATTATAAGTGAATTTAAATCACATTATTATTAGTTCATTGTAATACTTAATCCACTCTTCCCTCATTTAATTTAAATAATAAGGCTTGTTAAAGAAAAATATAGACTTTTGCCTGAATTACAAAAGTAAAGTAACCTAGAAAATTGATAGGGACGACTCCAAACTGACGTGGCTTGAAAAGTAATATTAAAAAAAACTTAACGCCATATAAACAACGACACGTGGCTTCTGTTTGGTCAGAGGATTAAAACAAGGAGAGCATTTTTGCTCATCATCATAAACTATGGTGTATACTCACCATACACCTAATCAATTGACACATGTCATTTCAGTTAACTCTAGTTAACTTTCACATTAAATTTTAGTTTTTCAATTTTGAAAAAAATTAACCAAGATTGAGTGAAATAACACGTGTCAATTAATTAGGTGTATGGTGAGCATACACCATAGTTTATGGTGGTGAGCAAAAATGCTCCCTAAAACAAGATATTTTCTTTTGTAATTTTGCTCAAGACCCAATCCAAGGGAAGATCCTTGTGAATATTATTATTATTTTTTAAAAAAAATTTCAAAACAACGATATTATCTAGATTAAGGGTGTGAGGAAGCGAGATAAACTTCACAATTGATAAGTAATAATGTGATTCAAATTCAACTTTTGATGAGAATCGAAAACCTCTTACTTACAATAAAAAAGAATACAACTATACCGTAATACTAAATTGCAACAAAACTCTAATTATAAAACATATTACACACATGGATGCAAATAACTTCTTTAAAATAGTGTGCTTTTCTAGTACACTTTATATCGCTTAAAATCGAAATGATTAGATTGGGTAGAATCTCACTCAATTCAAAATACAATTACAAAACATAATGTTAGACATGCTGCTAATGTAGACAGCTAATTCGTGTCAAATAGAGTACCAATTAGCTACTCATTCCCTTTTTTTTTTTTTTTTTTTTTTTTTTTTTTTTGTCGAATTCCTAATTTTGGTTAATGTCATCTTTTTTATTAGCATTTACCGTGTTCCGAGACTTATCAAATTTAGAAAGGCTAATGCTAATTTGAACTTAATATTATTAGACTATTAACCATTACGGTGTGACTCAAAGGTTGGAGACGATTTTTAGGTTTGTACTTCACACTACACATCTTGACTTCAATTCCTGACATTAGTGAATAGAAGAACAAGAGATCCTTTTGAACAACCTGTTATAATAGGAAAGCCTTATAACTTGAAATTAATTCATCAAGTTGTTAAAATACATGGACGTTCCAATGGACATTATGCACTTGTTACACAACAACCCCTTAGAGGAAGGGCCAAGCAATCAGCACAATAGCCAGGAGAATGGAAGTTTGGGTTCTAGAGGGATTTGGTGTTGCTCATATTTTACAAAAGATGCTTACTTATAAATCTGATCATATTAGAGAGCTCGCCAAGAAGTAATTGGTATTTACAATTATTGGAGGAACAATACCTAAACCTGAGAATGCTCCAAAATCTTTTCAATTGCTTGTTCAAGAACTACAAATCTTGGCTCTGGAACTGAACCATTTCCTTGTATCTAAAAAGAATTTCTAGATTAATAGGAAGGAGAAGCTTGATCATAATGAAATGAATAAAAAAATTTCTTCTATGATCGACGGATATAAACATCAACAACTTCAAATTGGATTAGTTTCTCCCCACCAAATAAGTGCTTGGGCAAAAAAAGCCCTACCTATTGGAGAAATAGCTAGAGAGGTGCCAAAATCCTACACGATGGTGGCAAGAGATGTTAAAATGCTTCTGTGAGTCTTCTCGGCCCTCAAAAGGGTGGACTGCTGTGACGATCCTTTTTAAAGGAAAGAAAAATATTATTAGACTATTTAAGACTCATTAACTAAGGGCTGGTTAAAGACTTTCAATGTGACCGAAATATAGAGTGATACTCCACATGTTATTATACAAGTAGAGGGAGGTATTTTTTTTTCCAAGTATCACCCCACTTGTATAATGACATATAACATATGTGCCTGTATTCCGGCACATTGACTAATCTCTCCTTAAAATGAGTGTTTCCAAAAATA